TGTAGGGTCATGATCTGAATTTCGGGGAGTATCTCTTTAGCCTTGACTCTGCATGTGCCTCGCTGGTTAAGAGGAGAGCTGTGCTGCCGTGCGGCTGTGTTTGGGTGACAGACCCCAGCTGGGCTGTGGGGTCAGCTTGAGGCTGCAAAAGCTGTGTGAGAGGATGCAAAAACTTCTTTCACCAAAATGTCAGGTTTAGCAGCTCCTCTTCCCTGCTGCTGTCTCCCAGCCCTGCCCTGCGTTAGGATGCAGCACTGGCAAGGGTGGCCGTGGCTCTTGACAGCCCTGCTGTGGGGAGAGGGGGGCTGAGGAGTGCTTGGGGTGGTCCTGCATCCCCTGGGACCGCAGGGCTTGCGAGGTTGGGGGTTAGCCCCCGCAGTCGCAGGCAGAAGGGTGGTATCTGCGGTGAGAACCTTCGAGCCATCTGTGCTGGGCAGTCTGCTTCTCATGAGAACCTTTTCTTCTCTGCCTTCACTTCCTTGGCTCGGTGTCGATGTGCAGCCTCACCTGACCTGCTCTTCTGGCTATCTCTTGGCTAACATCAGCAAAAAAAAAAAAAACCTTAAAGCAGCGACTTTGAAGCCTGCAAACCACAGGCGTTAACTCTGCTGGCAGTCTCCCTGCTCATGGGGTTTATGTTGTGCCCCTTCCATAGTAGGAGGCTTCTCCTGTCCTGTGTTTGGCCAAGCCAAATGAATTCCTGCTCTGGAGATAAGGAAGCAAGATGCTACTATAATGCAAGCCACAAATTTTGCAGCTCTGAGATAAGATGCATTGGGAGGATTGGGGGGGATTTACTTGTGTCCTAAACTAGCAAGAATGTTGTCTGCCCTCTGGGTTTTGCAGGGGTCGTGGATGTTATCGCTGACACCTCTAGGCTGGAGGAGCCGCTGCGTTTGAGTTGGGAGACCCTAGTGGGACGTGGCCCTGTTTTGCAAGTCACTCGTGTTAATGATTCTCTTGTCTCTGTTTGCAGTTCTGGCATAAAGCATGTTTCCACTGCGAGACCTGCAAGATGACCCTAAACATGAAAAACTACAAGGGCTACGAGAAGAAGCCGTATTGCAACGCGTAAGTCTCTGCTACCTGCTCTTGTTGCCCCGGAGAAAAGTGTTTAGTTGGGGAGATGCTGTAGGATTTGCTGGACCCTCCTCCAGCTTAAGCACCGGTCCTCACCCCCTGAAATGAGTTGCGGGGAACCCTGACCTCTGCAGAAAGTCTCTCCCTGCCGCTCTGCAGCACTTGCTGGGAGTGCATGTGAAGCCCTGGCTGAAGGGGTCACGCGTGCCGATTGATGCCGGTGTTAAAACAGTTTTCTAGGCTTAAATGCCAGCTGATGGATGCAGCTCCGACTGCAGCTTGGGCAGGCAGAAGGTGAATAAAAGTCAAATACAGGCAGGTGTTTACATGGAGCTGATCTTAATCTGTGTCCCCCTGAAGAAGGGGGGAAATAAGAAGGTGTTTGTGCTGCCCCAGCTGAACACAGGCGCCTGGGGAGCAGAAATGCCCTTCCGCGCAGGGGGAGCGGGGTGCATGAAATGGTGAGAGGTGCGGGTGTCACTGCAGCCCGTGCTCTGCTGGGGACAGGCTCACGGCCAAGGGCGTTCACCCTAACCTGCCAGCATTTGCCCTGGGTGTTCTGAAAGCAAACGCCTCTGAAGGCAAATGCAGCTCGAGTGCAAGATCCTTCTCCCAAGCAGCGTCGGGGGGGTGGAGGCAGAGCAGGGTACAACGGGAGCAGCTGCCTGTACCACACCTCAGCTCGCTTCCCTGGGTCTTTCAAGCTGCTTCTGAGGGGTGGATGGTCACTGGCCCCCAGTTGGTTTTTTTTTTTCTTATCAAGAAGAACCCTTAATTACACCCAGCTTTCTGGGCTCCGCTGTTCCATAATGAACTCCAGTCCCCACTCAGCCCGTAGGGAAGCGCTGAGCTCTACGTACCTGACATGTTTTTTAATGTCCATAAAGCAGCTTTGCAATAAGATTTTTTTTTTTCATAGCTGCTTCTTATACATTAACAGTTCTTAGAAGGTAGATTAGATAACGTAATACTACTGAGCGCTTGTATAGCATGGTCCATTCACAAAGTGCCTTAAAAACATTAATCCTGACAGCAGCCTTGTAAGATGGGTATTACCCTATTAATGTCTGTGGTAAGTAGAAAGGAGAAGCAGGGAGACCCATCAGCCGTGTGGTGCCTTAGCGAAAGCTTCCTAGCTTCTGCAGCTCTCGTAGGTTGGCGATTGCTGGTATTGGGTGTTGGTGATGACCGTGGATGGGTCGCAACCAAAACTGTTGTTGGATTGGGATGAGACTTGTAGCATTCAAATTTCGACTGGTGATGGTTGTGTCTTGGGATCCCACCTGAAATACAGGGGGGTGGGGGTGGTGTGAAAGGCAGCAGATAACCACAGGTTATGTTGTTGCATGGGGGCCACCAGCACTAACAGAGCTCCAGCTTCTGAAGTGAAGCTGGGAACTTGCTGGAGTAGTAAGAGGGGGAAACCTGTGGCTGCGGCAGGGTGAACTGGGTTGGACGGAGGCATCTTCTTGGGCTGTGCGGGTCTCCCAACCCACTGTGATGGTGGTCCAGCCAGCCTGGGATCCGTGAGCTCAAGACCTTGCTTTGCAGAGGAGATAAGGCCCCTGAGCTCTTCTTGGTGTCCTGAGCCAAAGCTTTCTTCTCTGGATGGTGGGCACCCCGATACCAGCTCTGGCAGAGCACCGGGTGCTGGGGCCGTAGGGATGGGCCTGGGGTCCTGTTCTTGAGCTCCCTCCCTCCAGGCTGCTGGAAGGGAAGTGGGATAATAATGGGAAATTCCTGAGATTCCAAGGAGTCTGCGCAACCCCGACCCATCTCAGTTTCTCAACCCCCTCTTGCTGAGAACTCCCTTTGATGCTGGCTTGCTTGTCTTAACCCTTTAACAGCCTCCCTGAAGAAGAGGCAGCTGCCTGTCTTGCCTCTACCCCAGGGGAGCCCCGGGTGTTCAAACTGTGCACAGAAACCCGCATTAAATGCTTTGTTTTCCGACCTTCCCTGCCTATGCCTTAAAGCGAAGGGAAGCAAGAGCAGCTGAAAACTGCTGGCACGTGAGGCTTTGCCTCCAGCAGCCGCTGGCCCCTTGTTTGCCGGGGTGGAGGCTGTCCGGTCGCAATGCCCAGGCGTGGGGTGCAGGGAGGCTGCAGCCGGAGGATGTGGGTTTGATTCTGTCTCAGCTGGTGCCCCCGGAGCATCCTGGGGGTGGGGGAAGAAGCATCTGGGCAAGGCAAGCGCCTGGCAAAGGGCAGCGTAGAAGGAGCCCACCCTTTCCGAACGGCTTCTGCCGATGTTGGAGTTGAGGGGCAACGTCTTCGATCCCCCGAGAAGGGGGTGGAAAAGCAACGTTTATCCTGGCAGGGAAGAGGCTGCTTTTCTGAACGTGCCTTAGCACAGGGTCTCCTCTGTTTGAGCTGTGGCCTTCTGCCAAATTCCTGAGTTTCTTTCTTCAAGAGAGCAGGAGGAAGAGGGCTGGGCTTCCTCCCTATCTGACATTACCCCAGCAATAAATCTGTGTGAAGCCTTTCAAGAAGGTGGCTGGTTAACTCTGCCCTCTGCCCTCCCATGCCCGTCAGCGTCGGGAACTTGCTTGGTGGCAGACGTGACCGTCTCCACCCTCCTTGCCGTTCCTCTTCTGGCTTCAGCTGGGTACTGGGGTGACTGGTTGTTCCCTGGAAGCCACGTTCAAGGCTGGGCTCATCTCTTTACATGAGCACTTTGAACTGAAAGAGGTAGAAGTGGAGGAGGGGCAATAACCAGGTGAAGTTTGATGCTTCTGCAAATGAAGGGTGGGGGAGACCTTGGGCTGCAAAGGACAGGCAAGACCACATGGGGGTTTCGGGGGACCAGCTGCTCCAAAATATGCATTATATATAGGCTTTAATTTCTTACTCCTTGAGCTGAAGGGATAACAGAGCTCTGTGCCGCAGCTGGCAGGGCTGAGGCTGGGGCATGGGGCTGTGTCCCTTAGCTGTGGGTCCCAAATGGAGGTGGTCCCTGCAGCAGCAGGACCCCGGTGACTGCCAGCTCCCCTTTGCCTTGGCAGCGGCTCAGCCTGCAGCGCAAATCTGTGCCTTGAAAATCCTGTCTGAGAGTTCAAAGCTGCTGTGTATTTCGGTCTGGGGAGCCGGCGGCTTCAGAGACATCCCTGGGCAGCGCCGCTGCTTGAAATGCAGAGAGGAGCTGGCGTACGCCCAGGCGCGGAGCTGCGTTGAGGTGGGCAAGAGGAGCAGCATCCTGGGCCAGAGGCTCCTCGTCTGCCTCTCTTGGCTACCAGGTTGCTTTGCTCCTCTCCCTTGAGGACATCTAGGCAAGACCTCAGGTCAGCCTTTACCTCGGAGCCGTGGGTTTGCCTGAACTCGTGCTGACGTACGAGCGGTTGCCGTGTCGGATGGATCCCCGCTTGGAAAGCCCCGCTCTGGCTGCATGCGCATCCCGTGCCGCCGGCGCACGGCTGATCAGAGGGGCTGTCTCTGCTGCCTGCACACCCCACCGTGCTGCGTTGGGTTGTTGGTTTGTGTTTTTTTTTTTTTAATTTCCTTGCTGCTGCAGCCTTGCTGGCAGGAAGCTAATGGCCTCCTTGCTCAGCGGTCCCGCCTCCCCCACCAAGGAGAGGCAGCCCTGACAGCGCAGCATCCTTTGTTTGAACGTGACGGGGAGATGGTGCTGCCGGCCGGGACCCTCTGCTCGCCCTCGCCGTAGCCCTGGCTCAGGCCCACGAGCAAACCGCTGTGGTGCTGCATCTCCACATCCCCCTGGCTAAACTGCATTTCTTCTCCCTCCCCCCAAAACGGGGACCAAGGGCTAAGCGAGACTGCCAGAAATACCTTACGTCTGTCGGCGGGGTCCCCGCTCCCTCCATCCCCCGTACTTGTGTGACTTCAGCTTCCCATCAAGGAGCTGACTTTCCTTGCAGAGAAACCACACCCGGTGTGGCGGTGGCCCCTGTGCCGGAGGATGTGTCCCGGGGGATCGGATGGAGGATCTGACA